AAACATTAGAAAAATAGTGTATTCTATTTGCGTGGTATCTGACTATAATATAATTCTGTCTGACTAAGTGGGCACAGAAATCGAAACGATCAGAATTCATTAAATGTCGTTTTTGCTTTTTGTTCCTTTTTTCGGATGGCTGCGCATTTGAGAAAAAGAAGTTTTTTGTTCTTTTCAATTTTCAGGAATTCTTCAATGATGTTGATCATTTTTCGCAAGTCAGTTTCACTTTTTCGTTTCCCAGCTTAACCTAATACATTGGTTGCAAGGGCGTCCATACAGTGGATTTGTGAGAAATCGTTTGACCCCGTGCTATCGAAAACGCTTGCTTTTTCCCAGAGAAAACTGGTCATCTTCTTGTGTTCTGTAGAAAACGACATACACGTATTGAGTAGGTTGTACGATCCCTGCTTTTTGATTATCGCCCCTCCCTCTATTTGTTACTATCTCATTCCATCGTATCCGATGTCTTCCAAGTCTCATCAAACCGTTGTCAATATTAACCTATGCCAAACAGACACGCTCGTAATCGGAGAGATACGGCGTTTCACAATGGTTCAGTATTGCAATTGTATAACTTCGTGATCGTATGCGCAGAAATACGATCGTTTATGGACAAACAAAGCTCGTCAACAGTTTTCGTTTTACTCTGTATTTCTTTCTATACGATTATATTTCACCGTGTACGATTTGGAGACATACGATCGTCCAAAATGTGATTGGGAAGAGAGGAGTTACTTCATTTTGACAGTAAATCAATCGCATAAGGTAATCTATCAGCATACCACAGGATCTGTAATCAATCCAGCAATTTTGAAGAATCAGATATTGCCGGATACAACATATCCGCCCTAAGAAATACGCCGAAGCGTTATGAAACCGCTCAGTTCCGTAGTTTTTCAGCGTCTTTTCGATCCGTTGTTGACTGTTCCGGTGATCGAAACGACAGACCCGAGATTGTATTATGAACACAGTAGACAGGTATACAGACATAGATTTATTCAAGATTTTTTGTTTCAAGATTTTCAATTTGAGATATCGAGGCATATGACTACCCATCTCTTTTCTTTATTTCACTTGTGAGATAATTATTTTTCTACTCATTTGATAGAGAAAAGTCACAAGACTTTGTAAATTAACAATGGCAATATTGCCTCTACAAGAGAAAACTGTCTGGTACTTTTCTGTTTAACCTGATTTCCAAAAAATCTTCTGATTTTTCTCCGAATTTTTTGGAAAAGTCTTCTGATTCTCTCCTGATTCTTCGGAAAAACCTCCTGATTTTCTAGAAAAAATCTACTGATCAACTTCTGATTTTTTAAAAAAAACTCCTGATTTCTAAAATTTGGATTTGGCAACCCTGTTGACCAACTGACTCTCGAGGCTCCGGGATGGAAAAACGTTCGCAGTCAAGGGTAGTTTTTCAAGGAATGGTGATGAAAATTACCGCGGGTAAGGTACGCACTTCAGTATGAACGACGTAATGAGAATTAGTTGATGAGAACGTAGTTAAATGGCATTGTTGAGATGTGTTCATGGATATGACCCATTGTAGGCCAACGTGATGAATAAAGAGAGGATCAGGGTAAGATTCGGTGCGACATTCAGAAAGAACAGCATCTGTTAAGATTTGGTATAAACAAGTGTCGTTCCAACGGGTAATAATTGGTGGAGTGTCGCGACAAACTGAAATTGCGCGGAAGTCGCAAGTCAAGGATTCTGATTGTGTCCAGGTGATGATGTGCTCGTTGGAAGGGTTGATGCCGATGAGAAATGCCATATCGACGAGTCGAACTCGAAAGCCAGGGTGGGAAAATGGAATTGGAAGTAACTGGCAGATAGGAAAAGGTGTTTGATGTCCCTTAATTGCCGCAAAAAAAGAAGAGATTGACAAAGTACCAATAAGTGCATCAGTGGCGTTAATGGGTTTTGTCAAGGGAAGGAAATGTACTGTTTGTTGTACCAAGAGGTTGGTGATCAGGTCGAGTAAGGGCGGCCCCGTAGTGTCATTGTTGAAATCGATGTTTGTAGTTGATATAATGAAATCGACAACATCAGCTAAATCACGATGGTGGATGAAATGAAGGTTAAGATGATTGGAAAAAATGTCTGAGAGAGAGGTATGTAGAAAGTGAGTTTCAACTGAATGGATAAAGGTTGTAAGTCGGTTGTTTAGGTATTTGGCAAAAAATGCTAGATTTTCAATGTTGATGTCATGAATGTTGACAAGGTTAATGGTTCGATTGAGCACCATTTGGGTGTTGTTGAGGGCTAAAGCAAGTTTGAGTTGGCCCTCTTGTAAGTGGAAGAGCTGTGTTTTATGTGTAGCAGCAATGGAATTGAGGGATGTCAAAGATTTGATAACATTGTCGGTTTCTTGTTTTAGTTTGAAAAGTTGAATAGAATTTGCTGTTGACATTGTAAGCGCTGCGGAGCCGATTCCGATGGCAACAATATCGGCTATAAGCCGTTTTTGCCGTGTTGCGGTGTTTTGTGATATGTTGGTGTTGGGGTGATGGCAGTTAGGTATTTTACGCAAAGCATGTAATGATAGTAGGTAACACATAGCTCGTGTCATGGGAATTGAGACAGTAAGAGATACGACACTGTCGGCCGGGGAATATTGAGAAATGTATTGAAGGACGAGACCAGAAGTTGAATGGACGATGTTTGACTGTGAAAGCGCGATAAGTGACCATGATGCTGGCAGTAAAGATGCTAGAAGAAGAAGTGCTTTGTATATAACGGGAATCATTGTTTGATTTGTATACTTCAAATATATCAGAGAATACTAGAAAGAACAAACGATATACTAGAATAGAAGAATGAAAAGAGAAATGAGCGCGACGTGGTGAGAAAACAAAGTAAAATTATAAACGGGGGAAAGATTTTCAGTAAATTTTGGGTGGTCGACGTGTCCGTAAAGGATAACGCCGAACCGGAACAAGGGAGAAGTATCTGTAACGGGAGGTGTTTCTGTGTTTGGTTCGTAATATGGTTTGATCCGGTCGATGTTGGTTGATCCCAGGTTAACGTTGTCGCTGAGACGCATGGCTATGAAAGTGGATGGTGACAGCTGTTCTATGAGACGGCATGGTCCCTGATACTTAGGTCGTAGTTTGTTGGTAATGTTTGTGTTATCAATTTGAGGTGTTGGAATTTGAATCCAGACAAGATCGCCAACGAAGAATTGGCGGTTGGTGGTATGTCTATCGTATTTCAGTTTTTGACTGAGTTTCTGAATTCCGGAGTGTTCACGAACAAGATGGTGGGTAACCCGAAGTGCATGTGCTAATTGAGCACGGTATTGTTGAATATATTTGTGTTCTGGAACAATGGAAGTAGGAGTCGGTATTGGTGGGTTAATAATGAGATCCAGTGCACTGTAAAAAAAATTCGTAGAATAATAAACCCTAGTACTTTAGGAAAGTCTTCCTAAATCCTTAAATGGTTTATACTGGTGTATTAAACCCTTAAAGGGTTTTTGTGCGAAAGGGTTTCTGAGAAAAAGGGTTTATGACAAGCGAAAAAGGGTATATTGTTCTACCCTTTCGTGAAAAGGGTTTTTTATTCTACGGTTATGGGTTTATTGTTCTACTCTTTTTTCAAAAGGGTTTATTATTCTACAGTCAAGGGTTTATTGCTCTACTCTTTCATAAAAGGAGTTTATTATTCTACTGTCAAGGGTTTATTGTTCTACCTTTCCGTAGAAAGGGTTTATTATTTTACGGTCAAGGGCTTATTATTCTACAGTGTAAAAAAAGAGTAGAATATTAAATGCTTGCCCTATCTGCAACATTTCCTAAACCCTTTAAAGGTTTAGGAAGCGAAGGGTTTATGAAAGCAAGGGTATATCAAAATAAAAAGGGTTTGGCATTCTACGTCTACATGCAAAGGTTTATTATTCTACGCATAGGAGTAGATTATTCTACCTTTATGTAAAAGGGATGTGTGGGTGTACATAACGATCATCTTCTCTTATCACATCCATAGCGACACCCCACATTCACACCTTTTCTACTTATCCATCTGATCACCTAAATCAGTCTTTTTTTTTTATAAATAACACTTTCTCTAGTGAATTGATATTTTTCCTTCTTTAGAATAAAGATAGTCATTGTCTACTGTCCCATTCGAAACCGTGAAATTAAAGACAGCGTTCATTCCCAATGGAGAAAATTCATCTTTTGCTGGTTAGCTAAGATAGAAAAATGAACGTTTCTAAATATTGACATACAGAATATTATTTTTCCAAGACAGAAAAGACAGTAATAAAAACTCAATATTCCCATCTAGGGTGTGGGTCTGTGTGGGTGTGGCTGTGGTTGTGGGTTGGTGGAGTGCGGGTATGGGTGTGGTAAAAGAGAAATAACACCCACACCCACACCCACACCGACACCCTCAGCCACCCACGCCCACACCCACACTCACACCCACACCCTCAGTCACCCACACCCACACCCTCAGCCACCCACACCCACACCCATACCCATACCCACACCCACACCCACACCCATACCCACACCCACACCCACACCCACACCCACACTCGCACTCACACCCACCCACACCCACACTCGCACCCATACCCACACCCACACCCTCGTGACACACATAGCCGGTAAAGTAAAATTTATTTTGTATTTTTATAATTTACTAAAAAGAAAATGAATTCGTTAATAGCCAAGTGAACAAATAAAATAAGCAAATTAACTTCTTATATAGTTGAAAAAGTATATAAGATAGTTCAAAGTATTGATAAATTATGTCGAAATCCTCATTGAAGCTGCCACTTAAGTAGTTTAATCTAGATTTTCAATGCGTTTCTTTTGCCAAAACTACGAAAAGGCATAATTAATATAGTTTTCAAAAATATTTTGAAGAAATATTCTTCCTTAAATAAGTTTCTGACATATTCTTTATTTGTATATTTGTTATTTAGAAATTGACGTAAATCGTAATTTGAAATATTTCATACAAAAAGGTGAATATCTTAATTAATGGAATATTCAAAAGATACGGAACACATTCAATATAATTATAATAATATTCAGAAACTTTTAAGGGTTGAATTGGAAAAATCACCTGAACGCTTTTCAAAACCAATTTATGTCTTACCTGATATTGATGATAATGTCGAATGTCAATTGGAACAAGAGCTACTAAACGAAAGCAAATATAATACTGGAAATCGCATTATTCTAATTCCATATCGTTTTGAAAACTCCCACTGGACTGGTATTTTAATTGAATTTCAAGCGACCAAACAAATTATACGAGCTGAATATATTGATCCAGTCAATGGGTCTAGTTTCGTTCCGGATAGGTTACAGAATCAATTAGCTAAAGTTTACCCATCTACTGTTCTGCAGACAAAGGATCTGTTAAAGCACAATGATCGAACACATAGTGCAAGATTAACCATTAGAAACTTATTAGCTGCAGTCGAAAACGATCAACGTCCACAGATGCGTCAACCATACGTGAATATTCCAGACGGAAATGAAACAAGTACATATTCAATTGAATCAAAATTACTGCATTGGCAGCAGAGCAAAAATACGATTTCAAAGAAAGGTAATGGCTATAGACTTGCTGATCTAGAACAACAATTAAAGAACGGACTCGAAATACTAAAAATTTCAGACGTAAGTTTAATACCACAAAAAATACAGGAAATAGAAGTACGAATCAAAAAATATGATGATGAGGGAAGAATAGATGATATTGAGAAAGAAGAGAAATACTTACGGGAACTTCAGGAGTTACAAAAAATTTCGGAATTAATTTATTCTGAATCTATCTCGAGTATTCCCAATAAGGATAACAAGTCAAATGTGAATAGAACTGACAAACAAGGTCTTGCAAGTTCAAGTAACATTATTGCACTTGAGAAAAACAAACGACTGTCACATCTGAACGAACTGCGTGAGGATTCCGTTGCTATGCCACCTTGTGCTGAAAAAACCATATTGGAACTTTTAGAACATTTTGAACAGAAATTATTAGAAAATTGTCCGTACTCACAAGAACAAAACTCAGTAATTGAAATGTTAAGTAAATTGAATGATCAGATTACAAAGCAAGATTTAAATTCAAAAGAGGTTCAAACTAGTCTTCAAAATTTAAACATAGCCGTAAATAGTGGTAATAGGTCAAGTTCAGTGGATATTCTGTACGAACTTAAAAAAAAAATCAGACCACTGAATGTACAAGATATACAAAGACTCGTCTCTAAAGCGAAAAAGGCTGCTGAATTAATCCGTGATAAAGATATTATTTTGTTAGTAGGTGAAACTGGCAGTGGAAAATCTACTATGATTCACTTTCTTGCAGGTTCTGAGATGAAGGAGGTGCAAGTGGAAATTGAACCCGGGAAATTTTTAGATCATATTACACCAATTAGACCTGTCAAGAATCCAGAATTGAATAATGTGACTAGTAGTCCATTTCACAAATCAGAAACGCGCTATATTACACCAGTTACGATACAATTGAAAGATATTCTTGGTAGTCATGAAACTGACGTTATTACTTTATGTGACGCACCTGGTTTTAGTGATACAGCAGGTGTAGAGGTAGATATTGTTAATAGTCTAGGAGTTATCGAAGCATTGAAAGGAACTAAAAGTGTCAAGATACTTGCTTTGTCAAGCTATCAAAGTTTAGGTGATAGAGGTGAAGGAATTCAGAGATTGGCGCATATATTAATAAATATGATGTGTAAAATAGACGACAGACTTGACGCTATTATTTACGTATTTACAAAATATCCTGCGAAAAAAAACATTAATGCTATATTAACGGATATTAAAAAACAGAAAGTAGATAAAGATCGGTATTTGCGATCTGATACTGCGTTTGTGACCGTATTGTCAGATATGATCGAAAAAACTGAAGGAAATACTTATAAAATCGATCCTATTCATGGTGATCGGAAAATACTAATTAAAAAATTAAAATGTACAAAGGGTATTCAGTATCCAGAAGAAGTTTTTCAATTTTCTATGAGAAGAGAAACACGAACTAGTATTGATAATCATGTTAAAAAAGATAAGTCTAGTATAATTTGTGCAGTGAAACACAAAAACAACGAACTTGTGATTTATTACCTAAATGATTTGAAAACCTTACACGATTTAACAAAGCAAAGTTTTGTTCGAGAAGCTTATGAAAGTTCAATACGTCGGATAAGTGAGAACATTAATGAATATTGTAAGAAAATAAAGAGAAAATTTAATCGTGTTTTAGCTAGTCCAGATCGATTAGGAGAAGATGATATTCGTGAGTATAAAGCTGCTGTTGAATATCTTCAACAGTGCCAAATCTTAAAAGAACATTTAGGATCATCTCTATTATCACCTGAAACATTGATGCAAAACATCATTTCCAATTTGTGTGAGAGAAGTTGCGCTCTGAATGGAGCAGATCTGTATAATCCTTTAGTTGGAGTATATTTGAATAATCTTCGCATGCTTAGAAACTCGTTTAAAGAACTTGAAATAAACTACCGTACTAGTCGTAAAGAGTTCGAAAAGCGTTTTTATTTGTTAGAACAATCTGCTCGCGAACTCATTCTAACAAATAACTTCAAACAACTCGCTGAAATTATTCTTAGTATATATAAATCTTCGCATGTTCTGAAAGATCATTTAGATCAGAAAGTTGAAGAGACATATTACAACATCGTCAAATCGCTCTTACAATACCTAAATAGTTTCTCAGAAAGATCAGATCCACTTTTACAAAAGACTCGATTAACCAATGATGATACTGAAATTCTTAAAAGTTATATGGAAATACTGAGATCAGCTAAAGAATGTTCTTCGCTTCAAGATCGTATTGTCACATATATTGATACGTTGAAAAGAAAAGATACTGTCGCAAATCAGTGCAGTCAAAATTGTGACTCTGAAGAAATTTTTACAGATCTGAATCAAATTTATAACAATTTTATTCTGAAAATTATGAAATATTTCGATGAGATAAACGTCAGAACTGAAGAACTTTTTAAAAGAGCTACAGATCATACTTTAGAAGATATAGAGAAATTAGTCGATGATATGGATGCTATTCGTAAAATTCCAGAACTAGAATCAAAGACTGCTGGGACATATTATCGTACCGTTGAAACATTGCGTAATTATATGCAGAAATTGCAAATAGAAGCAGAGCAATTACTACTTACTATAGATCATCAGACTGGAACTATTAGTTATAGACATCTCGCACAATCATTGTTACGTTTGAAAAACGCAGAATGGATCAATCATCTTAGTCCAGGAACGTATGATACTTTAATGCGTCGCATTAAAGAAAAGTTAGTGCAACATGCTTGTCAATTGGAAGATCGCTTGATGAATATAGATTATAGTTTGAAATGTCCAGATAATGTTTCTATTGTGCAAGAAATTGTTAAAAAAATTGAATCTATGCGGGATTTAGAGCGTATTGTTCCAGAACTTGAAAAGCACAGACAAAGTGTACTCCAACGATTTTTACAATGTACACAGACAGTCTTTGATTGTATACAAACGACTTTTAATTTACAAGATAAAGATGTTTATCTAATAAAACAAGAGTTGAAAAATCTCGAAGAAATTAAAAAAGGATGTAATGATTTACATCCAGCTCGTATATTTTTACGGAAACACAATTATTCTGATATTATTATGCTGAATGGTGAGATTGAAGAGTTAAAAACTAGGCAAAAAGGTGCATTTCAAATAGCAGAAACTGAACAACATGACATGAAGTATACGTTAGAAAATTTAAATTCAATTGTTCGAGAATATATGAATTTATATCCTTCAGAGACAGATCGAGGTGTAACTGGAGAACTGTCGGACATGCTAGGAAGAGCATTGCACGGTAAAAGTACACAGGCAGAGAGTTATTTAAAGACGATAGGATATTCAAGTATCGATGTTGTGCGCGAAAAGATTGCAGAGACCGAAAAAAGTTATCGTAACAAATTACAATGGAGTACGAAGCAAAATGAAGAATTAAGTATTTCTTTAAGTCGTCTTGAATCAATAAAAGAAGAGCACGACTCATTATTAGCTACACGTAATTTAGTATCTTCTGAAGAAATAAGTTTCCTTCGAGAAAAAGGATTCAATAGTTATGAATTACTTGACGAAAATATACAAGAGAAGACGAGAATTATTGGTGAACGTGGAAAAAATAAACAATCATTCCATTTTAGCGACAGAATAGACGCGTCTACAGCAAATAATGCGTTGGTGTATTTAAGTCAATGCGAAAAAGTAGGCCATCATTGTGTAAAAGAAAGTGCAGCTGATACTCATGAAATTTTGAAAAACTATTTAAGTGAATACGGTAATTTTCTTAATCAAGAAATAAGTAAAAAATCCAACTATATAATTAGTATTGACGCTGAAGGAGGTCGTTTTCAATATTCTCAAGATTTAGAAATGCGTTTACAAGAGTTATCATCTCTTAGTAGATTTCCGCATGTTTTTGAATGTATTGATGGACTTGCGAAAGTAAATCATTGGCATCGAGAATTTCTTGAATATCATCGTATTCTGGGTGATAAAATGAAAGCATATGAAGATGATAAAAGACATAGAGATAGTGGCAACACCATAGGTAGGCTGGAGGGAGCTCAGCGCTCCCTAACACTGTATGAGCCTCCACAAAAAATTTTTAAAACTGCGGTAGAGAACCAACAATCGTCCATAATTGAAAATTTGGGGGAGCTGAGCCCTCTCGAACCAAATATTCTGCCGCCGCCTCTATATAGAGAATTAAATGATTATCTAACAATTGTGCATGCATTAAGCTGTGTTGATCGTTTCTGTATATCTGTGTTTGCTGGTAATGGATTTGGAACTTTATATAGACAATATCAAGGAAAGAGATATAATGAATGTAGAATAGCGTATAGGACTATTTTAGAGTACATGTCAAAAGGAGATTATGCCAATGCAGATATAGAATTATCTGATATTGATGATAATCTTTTAAATCCAAGAGATAAAGCTCAAATTGAGCATGATCTACAAAGTTCTTTAAATAAGTTGATAAATAATACTAAAAGTATTGCAAATTGGCTTGATGGGAAAATTGAACGAGAGGAAGATAATCGATCCCAAATAAAAGAAATAAAAGAAAATATTGATAAAATTCGAATTGCTTCAAATAAACACCGTATAATGAATCTACTTGATGGTGGAACTCGAGATGTTCTTCAAAATTTTGATAAAGAAATAAATGAAATTTTATCTAGAATTATTTTAAGAGGACTTAGATCTATTGAAACATTTATTGATGCTGACAGTTTTTCTGAAGCTGAACAAGGAATGGAAAATCTTAGTCGAGTACAACGTGAATTAGCAGGTTATTATATATCACAAAGTGTTAATGAAAAATGTGAAGAACTAAGAGAAAGAATAAATCTTATAGTTAGTGAAATTTTGAAAAAAACTGACTTTACAGATGTCAACAATTATTCTGTTAATCCACCTAAAGATCTATTAGCTAAATTAAAAATGGTTGCATCACATGGTAGTGCTAGATTTATTCAAGCTTATCATTCAATATTAGGAAAAGTTAAACAAAGTTTTAGTTTAGCTATAAATGAAGTACGTAATGCACCATTACATGAACGTTATGTAAAAATACGTTTATTAAAGTATGCATTATGTTTTTTACCGGAAGATTTGCAAATCTATTTCAATTTACAAATCGGTGAATTGAGCAAGTTAATTACCGAAGAGGAGAAAGCACATAAACAACATCTCGAAACATTGCTGGCAAATATGGATGACGATGAACATTCTATCACAGAAGTAGGGTCACTAGCTGAGCAGTATAAAAAACAAAACTTGAATGATCTTTTTAATAAATTACGTGAACAAAGTTTAAAGAAACTGCACATTTATCGAACGAACGTGCAGACTTGTTTAGATAAACAAGATATACAATCCGCTGTTTCTATTGTCAAGATAATATTCAAATATGAAAGATCTCTCGGTACCTATATTCCAGAAGTAACAGAAATATACAATAGCGTTCATATTCTAATAATAAAAGGATTTTCATATTGTTGTGAAACTCTTGCTAATATATCTTCGACTGAACAAACACGATTAATAGAAAAAGCATTTAGTGATATTCTTGTTTATCTAAAATTTTCTGATACATTCAATAAAAGAGACGAAGAATTCTTTTCAGAAAATGAATTAAAAAATGCAGAAGATGCATTTCAGAAAATGTCTCAATATTTATACAAAAATTCAAGAAAATTTCAATCTGCTCTAGAAGAAATGAACATCATTGAATTATATAAAGTTATGTTAATATCGAAGAAATGGGATAAACTTTTACAAAACATTAGGCAATGTCAATTGAAACATAAATTAGTAAAAAAATTATTCGAAGAAATTAAAAGAATTATTTCGCACACAGATATGATTTGTGAACTTGAAAACATGGTGATTCAACTAAAGAATCAATTAAATGTTGAACTCGTTAGTGATGAAACAACGAAATTTGAAATTAAACGCGAAGAATTTTTTAGTAAATTAACGAGAATAATCAAAATATTAAGAGAGATTAATCTGAAATTTAAAGATATTTTATCATCAACATTATATGTAGATAAATTAGCAGATCTTGAAAAGAAAGTCGAAAGAATTAGTGAACAATTACTTGCTAAAGCATCAAGAAAAGAACTTTCTTCTAAAGATGCTGATGATTTTCGTACGTATTATAATCATCTTTTATCATTTGAAAAGTATGTACGTATTCCAGAAATAAAAAGTATTCGATTGGTTTTAGATCAATCAGAAGAAAAAATTCTTGAAAAAGTAATAAATTTACGTAAAGAAATTATCGAGTCTTCTTCAGATGCTGTAAAAGTTTGTAAAATGTTAATTAAGATGAAATTTTTTGCTGAAAATTTATCAATGTTTGATACAAATATTAACACAGAAATTGATGAAACTCTTAAAATTTATAAAGAAGAAAAAGGTAATCTAGGTATGACAAGTTTAACTTTAGAATTAGAAAAATCAGACGTAGGTGGTCGAATAATTAATGAACATTCGTGTTTTAGTGGAGAAGATTGTCGAATACGACGAGAAAAAATGCAAAAACAGGATAATCTGGAATATGTACTAAATGAATTAACTGGAGACGATATTTCGAAGAAAGTTTTGAGATCACGTTACGAAACTTTTAAAGAAAAATATGATAAATTAGTGTCTAATAACCTAAATTTTTTCAATCAGAGCATTAATAAAGAACCAGATGTCGAGGTATTAGTTGTACAAATCAAACATCTTGTTGGAACAATAACTCATACATCTAACTCTGTTACTTGGCGTCGTTCCTTTAGAGACGAAATTCCTGATCTTTTAGCGCATATTTTCGCTGTTTGGACTTTACAAAATACCAAACATTATAATACGATGCGTGGTATCGAAGCAGCACAGTCTTATTTATTGATGCCACATGTTGGTCAGGTTATTGCTATTTTTCGTCTGCTTGGTATTGGTTACGAGAATTACAAGAAAATCATAGGACATAAGGTACCTTTCACAAGAAAAATTTCAGATGATTTAATTAATAATTTAGTGCAAGTAGGTACAGGTGAAGGTAAATCAGTTGTGATGGCAATAACTGCTTGTGTTTTTGCTCTTACCGGAGTAGATGTAAACTGTTCATGTTATAGTGAAGTCTTAAGTGCGCGAGATAAGAATGATTTTGCTTCAGTTTTCCGAGCACTTGGAATAGAAGAACGTATTGAATATGGTACTTTTAATAAATTATGTGAACAATTATTGAATGAACAATGTAATGTCCGAGAAAAAGTACGTGATATGATTGCAACTAATCAAAGTACGCTTCCTGCAACTGATACATCAGTACGTATACGTCCAAAAGTATTGTTGATTGATGAAGTAGATGTTTTTCTAAGCGATAAATATTATGGTGGAATGTATATACCATCTGTATATTTGAAAGATCCTTCCATAAAGAAATTATTAGATTCCATTTGGCAAGATAAGAGTTTAAAAACATTAAATAGTGTAAAAGCTCTGCCAGCGTATAGAACTTGTGCAACTAAATATAGTAATTGGATTTTTCTTTTCGATGAAGCCATAAAAGATATGCTAGCTGCTTTAAAATCGTTTCAATCATCAACATATATCGTACAGAGTGACAAGATTGTTTATGTCGAAGGTGAATCTATAGTAGATAATGTCGTTCGTGGTTATGACACAATTTGGGCATATTATCGTGAAGAAGAAAGAGATAATATTAGTCAGAGTAGTCTAAATGATAATGTAGGCATTATTTTAAATTGTGGAACATTTTCTTACGCTGAAATGCCTTATGACTTTGAGTATATTGCTGGTGTTACCGGTACTTTGATAACACTTGCGAAAGCAGAAAAAGATATATTAGAAAAAGTGTACAAAGTTCACAAAATGACGTATATGCCATCCGTATTTGGAAGTAGTAATCGTACTTATAATCCGAGAACTGATGTGCGTGCAGTAAAGGATAGTGAATATTTTATGGAAATTCGTGAAGAAATTAATGCGGTATGTCATGCAAGTCGTGCGATTCTTGTGTTTTTCGAATCTGAAGAAAAACTAATAACATTTTATAATTCCTCTGAATTGTCTTCTATAAAACACGATGTACAAATTATAACAGAAAAAGTTTCTGTAAAAGAAAGAGAGCTATGCATTAAACGAGCAGCAACAGTTGGTAAAGTTACACTATTAACTCGAACATTTGGACGAGGAACTGATTTTATATGCCGTAATCAACAGCTCTTATTGAATGGTGGTATTCATGTACTTCAGACATTTTTTTCAGAAGAATTATCTGAAGAATATCAAATTATGGGGACCCAGGTCAAAGATGCCCGGCAGGAAACGATAGGATCCGGCGAAATTCCGGCCAATTCATG